CTGCCACACCCCATACACATACCTACCAACACACCCCATCCTGCCACCATACCCATACCCCACACACCCCTCCACATACACCTCCCCTTCTCCCACACAATATACAAAAGTAACACTTTATTTTGAGCTATTATGCAATCGCCTCTATATACACTACTCAAACACACATAAATCAGGACAACATTATTTTTTTAAATAAAATTAAAATATGTAGTAGTAGATGTTTGACTTATTTTTAGTATATGATTTTTTTTCCGGTTCCAAGATGGCACTGAAGGAGTACTTCTGGGGCAGGGGAAGGGACTTCCAGTGGCAAAGGTCAAAAGTTAGGGCCAGGACTTCTGGTCCCAAGATGGTAACCAAGGGGTGGGGCTACCCTTGTGGCCCTCAACAGCTCACCAAAACTCATTAAGCGGCCCTCCAGCCAAAATAGTTGCCCTACCCCTGCTTCAACTAAAGCTCATTCAATGAGCCTTAATTAAAAGCACCTCAGTGGCCTTTTCTAAACCTGTGACTGCTTATAGACATGACACTGTGATGATGCTAGAGTGCTTGAATTAGAATATGGAGTAGACTCAATAAATTGAGTCTACTCCAACGCATTCTAATTAGAATGCTTTGTAGCACATGTATGGGCACCCAACTGCCTTAACGACTCTTCCACTATGCTCCGGCACATGCCTAAATAGGGAGTGAAATTCTGGTCCCCTGAAGCCAAACTGTCATTATTTCTGTGTGGACAAGATTTAATCTAAATTGTGACTGACATTATTTAGGATTATTTAGAACACAATCTGACTGCAAGAGGAGGACACAGCTTGAAAAGAAACTTGCTTTTTAATAGGCAGATAACTAATAGGAAAAAAAAGAAGAAAAAAGCTACGCTTGTTGCAAAACAGATGCTTCCACATTTATTCTTTAAAGAGAGTGTCTGCTCCAAAAACTAAGTGTCCCTTTTTCCTTTACAGATATGGTCCCTGACATATGGTTGTTTTCCTGCTTCCATGCATGTATTTTTGATTGTTTTATGAAGCCAAATATATTTTTTCCTGTCTTTTACTCAAATCACTTCGGAGTCAACACAATTGCAGGAGAATATGATAAATTATCTATTTTGTATCAATAAAAGAAAGTCTTTGAGGGAATCTTGGAAGTCTCAGGTCCTCTGGCATGTTAAAATGCCTTCCACTATCTTTCTTTAGAACCAACATAATTCCATTAGTGAATCTTCACTTTGAAAGGTGTCTCTATCATAGAGTTTAATAAAATGAATACTGACATTCAGTATGGACTTTTGCTTTTACCTTAGCTTCAATACATTTTAGTTTTAAATAGATGTCTAGACTATGTAATATAAAAAGCACCCATGCATCAGTATAGGTGAGACTTGGAGCTAAATGAGATGGAGATGCATGCCTTGATCTCACCAGCCTCTTCATCTTTCTGTCAACAGCTCTTTCCTCTAACGGCCATTCATTAGGGCTTCATTATTGTCACATTCTCAAATATGGTAATAAAAAATGGATAGGTCCCTGAATAAACTGAAAAATACCAGAATGAATAAAGGAATGACTAAATAAATAAATAAAGACTGATGAGCCTTTTCCTATTTGAGAGGAATGGATATGCCTGCTACTCCACAAAACCTGGTCCTAATTATTCAGGAGATTTTTAAACTTTTGTTGCACTTCACTTGTTGAATGTCACATTTAGGCATCTGAGCTGTCCTTTCCCCTTTACATCAAGCATGGATGTAGCAATCAGGTACTTAATTGTGACCTTCAGAAAGTCCTCTTTCCCAACTAAAGTACAGCAAGGATTAGATCTCAGGGCCTTCTTCGATCTTACTCTGTAAGATGAACAAATGTTAATCAGCTTAGTGTTGTTTGGCTTAGTGGAGCAGTCACATGGTAAGGTAAAAAACCTGTTCTGACTGTCCTTTATCTGTACAGCTGTGACTTGCCATGAGAGGCTTGGTGAGCAGGGGCAGGACTAAGAACAGAAATAACTCACTGCTCCCACCAGGCAAAGAACAAGCCCACCACCATTTCAGTTGCACTGAGACCAGAGGGACGCAGGGCACTCACTCACTCTGAGCTCCGAGAGGCCTGATCCTTTCTTCTCTGGAGCTCAGGTCATGCCCACCACCCACACCACCCACACAGGGAGCAGAGCTGGTCCAGGAAGCGGCAGGAGGCACTGCAGCCACTGGGTACTTGGGGTCTGCGGTGCTTGCTCTGCCAGACGTCCCTGGGGGTAAGGTGCCATGCCTGGCCCTGCTGCACCTTGGCATCCCTGCTCATCTTGGCATCCCTGCTGCACCTTGGCATCCCTGCTCACCCTGAGTCAGGAGGGGCCACTGCATTCTAGGATACTGGAGGACTTCAACTTTAATGGAATAGCTGTGGGAAGGGGTCACATGATGATAGAATAGGAACAAAATTAGGCAGATTGGAAATAATTCTGCCCTGGAAGGGTGTAACTATAAGACAAATAACAAGTTCTTCAAGCTACTGAAAAAGGTGTTCATGTGCAGCCAGTCCAGGGGTTAAGAGGTCCAGAAGTCACCTAAACTTAACATGGAAAAAGGCCCTCAGACAATCAGTAAGGAACTTTAAAGAACATAGAGAGTGGGAATGGTCATCCTTAAGGTCAGGCAAAGATAGCCTCATTATATTTGGTATCTTCCCTTCATCTCTAGGGTATGAACAAAGAGTTTGCATGTAAGACCCTTCATAGCTGAGCTTAATAACAGAATGTAAATAAACCAGGGAGGGGGAGTTTTTGCATTTAGCATCTAGCATAATATAGAGCATTGGTTTATCTTGTACAGATACCTATTACATCCCATTATGTGATGAAGATGGGTACTACAAACCAAGTCAGTGCCATGGAAGTACAGGGCAGTGCTGGTGTGTTGACAGATATGGTAATGAGGTAACAGGATCCAGAACAACTGGTGCTGCTGAATGTGGTAAGTTGTAAAATTCTTCCTGTTTGTTAGAATAGGTTTCCTATTTCCTCTGAAATCAGTGACCTTACTTTTTAGTGCCAAATCCAAATTCACTTCTAAAATGTTCAAGTATCACTTAGAGAATAGGTGGTGGACCCACCCACCTTAGTTCAGTAATCCTAGTAGTCAGAGCACTATATCTAGCATCTAGATTAAATCAGGTTGTATACTCAGCATACTGTTGAACTCAATTTGACAACCGTTTAATTAAAGCCTAGTTATCAGGAACTTGGTATAAATTTCTGAAGTACTTAAAAAGAAGTCTCCATGTATATCACTTCCTAATCCCCCTTAATCCCTGTACCTTTACTGCTCCAAGCATCCCAAACCTGCCACCAGAATTCAAGGGTGCCAGTAACACTGTTTTTTAATAAAGTATTTTGGGAACCTACAAGGGACTTACTGACTCTGAAATTCCCACAAGTCTCGTGCTGCTACAATAGATATGTTTTCTGCTACTTATTGATTACAAGAAGCTTCTCAGGACCCACTCCAGATACAAATAAGTTCTTCATCAAATCAGATGATTTCTCTAAATCCACTCAAAGCACCGACTAAGTGGACCTTGTCATATAATCATGTAAATCATGGCCTTGTCATATAATCATGTATCACTATTTAAAGATTAAATAGAAAAATAAATTCTTGCTACATAAAACTAAAAAGACTCACTGACACAGATACATGGCTTAATAGAAAAGGTAAATAAAACATAGCTAGAACATATCCTACTGCTTCAGACACCAAGTCCATGTTGTCCACTGTCCACTCTCTGAAACTGGCCCACAGCAGGTACTTCAGAGTGAAGTGGAAGAACCCTGCAGTAGGCAGAAATTGGATAATCTGCCTCTCACATTAAACATTCTGATTTCTACTACAGATTTGTTTAGGCCCTGAAACTGGTATTTAGTCCTCCTTCCAAATTTTATCATCACTGATTAGAAGTCTAGATACCCTTCATACCTATATACATTTCCTATCTTTTTTAACGTTAATAAATTTGTGGCCTGAATGACCTCCTGTGGCAGTAAGTTCCATACTCTAAATATGTTATGGGAAAACATATTTCCTTTTATAGACAGCAGAAAAATATTGAGCCTTTATTCATTTTTTTTTTTACCTTATACTTTACTGTTCATTTTAAACAATTGATTGACATGAATCCATAGATCCCCGAGTTCCTGTAGTATCAGGTAACTATTGTACTTTTTTAGCTATTGATTTAGAGACCTCAGGTGATTTTGCCAGTGGTGATTTCCATGAATGGACAGATGATGAAGATGATGAAGACGATGTGATGAATGATGAAGATGAAATTGAAGATGATGATGAGGATGAAGGGGATGATGATGTGGATGATGATGATCATGATGGATACATTTGATGATTTTAGAGGTCAACAAATTGTACCTTTCTAAAAATCACAAGGTGACATCTCATAGAAAATTCCTTTGCTCTGCAAGATGAAAAGGATTTAAAAATATGTATATTTTGTATGATTATTTCAAATATTACAGCTGGAGTCATAGACTTTGTTTAAATAAGAATCATTATATTATGTGCTTTTGAGGTTTTTTATGCCTTTGAGCAGAAGAAAACACATTGGAAGTCTAGACTGAAGAAATAATTGTGATGTGCTACTAGAAAATAAACATGCAGAACATCATAAGGACAACCAAACTTTTAAAAACTTCCATAAGGAATATTTACCATTGTTTGGGACTTTGTGCTCTAATGTATGTTAAAGTTTCATTAACTTTAGCAGTTACTTAGGCCATGTGGTCTTTCAAATTGAACATGACCTGGACCAATCATTTACTGCAGTAGAAACTTCAATGCACAAGTAGCATCTCACCAACCTTTAATTAACCAAAGGTGTGGAGAAAATGTGACTGTAAGAGAAAATAATGTAAGTTCCTTCTTTCTGTTTGCATTGTAGTTATGTTTTTGATCAGGAAATGGCTAAGTTTATGAAGGAATGTCTTTTAAAAGCCGTAAACACAGGCAAGAATTGATTCTGCAAGTCTGAAGTTTTGTTGTCCTTTTTTTAATTTTTCTTTTGACATCGAACTCTATATAGACTTTACTGTTTACTCAAGCAGCAGCATTATTTCACCCTCTTTTGTTTGTCTCTTTCTTAACCAGAGTTGCATAAAATATTTTAAATAGGAAAACTTTTCAAATACACTTGATTTATATTACATTGTACTTGAGAGTGACAGCACTTGACTCAAGATAATTTAAGTAACCCCTAACTATAATTTTATTTTCCTATTTCAGGAAATAGTTTTTCATCTTTTTCTTTAATTCATGTCTTTTTCTGTTGTTAGTGCAGAACTTTAGAGAAAGTATTGTAAGGTGCCTTGCAAAATAGAAATAGAAAGGTTTTAGCATGCATACCGATATAGGACGTTAGGCAATAGCTAAGCACACCCAGTTACCAAAATAATACCAGTATAGGTATTGCTGCTGGAATGAAGAAAATGGGTTATTTTATTTTTTTTCCTATTGTTATGTAATTACCATGTGGACTAGATTATGATTATTGTGTAGCGTAGCATTTAAGATTTGACTGTAGAGAAAATTACTTTAATCACTGTATTTATGTTAGCATGTTAATTAATCGTGTAGACATTTCAGAACTCCATCACCTCCGTGCATATCGACCTATGGCTTTCCACCCACAATAAAATTGAAACAACCTGTGTAACATACTGCAGGTTGTATAATTTCAACAGTTGATCACTGATTTCCCTGATTTTCATCTGCAGTTAATTGAAAGGAAAATCAGTTTATTATTTGCATTTGATTTCTACATATTAAATACTAAATTTAATGTTTATCTTATGTAATATTAAAAAGTATAATGCATTTTCTTTTTTACTGTTTATGTATAGTTTGCAAAATAAAGACTCTTGTAACCAACCTTTAGCTGCATAGTGTAATTTTTAATGGTATAGCCAATTATTTTGAATTTTTGTCTAAATTGTCAAAAGAGAAAGATGAAGGTTTTATTTTTCAGATACATTTACACAGTCATTCAACTATTCAGGTATATATGCAGTTATATAAAGGCATGTCCTGATGCTTCATTACATTTCAGTAGAGTTTGGGGATTAAGTTAAAAGTCATAAGAAATGTTTTTCTTCTTTGTATCTAATTATTTCTCAATTTGCTGCGAATGTGGAATTCTTATTATTTTGTCATCATTTTATCATAACACGTGTTGCACACCAGATTTACTATTCTTTTCCATCATGGAAAAAAATAAGGGTGAAGAGACATGTTATTTTCTTAATTAAGTATAATAAAGTGTTTATTATGTTGGCTGAATTTTGCCACAAACCAATTTCTTGTAGGTTGAATAAGCTCCTATATAAAATAATTTTGAATAAAACAGCTAGAGATAAGTAGTTATGATCATTGGCTGATATAGTAATCCTCTTCTACTTTTTAATAACAAATGTATATTAGCTGACAAATTAAAGATGCATTTCATGCAACTTATGGTGTTACTTGAAAACCTAGGAGAATTTGAGAATATTTTATTCATAATGTACTTAACCATTAAACTTTAATAGACATTGAGCTTAGAAAAATCAGTGCTAACACCAGTACTTTTCAGTGAAGAGCAGCAGCACCAGAATACCTCAGGCTTCCCACATATAACATCTAAGTGATACATGTACACTGGCAATGTCACCATAGTAACCAATAGGCATGACAGAGCTGGAAAAGACACTGGGTACTGACATGGAACTCATCACTAACTATCTCCACGAGTGGCACTTTAAGTTAGGCATTGCTAAATCAGCATCATCACTCTTCCACCTGGACAATGATCAAGCCAAGAGCATGCTGAATGTATCAGAGTAGGTGATCATATCCTTCCTCATGAGTATACCCCAAGCCTACCTAGAATTAAGCCATTCACTCACCTATAAGCATCAAATTCAAAAAGTCAACAGTAAAGTCTTTGCACAGGTAGTTGCCTTAAGATGTTTAGCCAGTATGACATGGGGTACCAACTTCAAAATGCTCAGAACCACCACACTTGCAATGGTATATGCCTCAGCAAAATATTGTGCTTTCGTATGCTCCAGAATTTGTCACCCTTGACACTGCACTTTATAGTGCACTGAGACTCAAGGTGCACAACCTACTCACACACACAGATGTACTCCCTGTACTCTCTGGCATTAGACTAATGATATAAGAAGAGAAACCCTAACATCATTACTGGCAATAGAGGCAAGATATGACAAAAATCACCCACTGCATCAACTGTTAACTGAAGGCCCAGACAGACAGAGGCTTAAGAGGCTCAAAAGCTGTAAACCATTTGTACATAAGTCCACAAGCTCCTGAAAGAGCGTGGGGATACTGAACCAAACCTAAGGTCAGTTATGGAGTGGGCCGACCACTGGGAAAGGTCAGTTCTATTCCTACAGCATTTAATATAGATACCAAATGAGTCCCCCATTGGGTATGACCTTGATGGAGAAGCGAGGGTCAAGCTGAACAGACTGAGATTTGGATACGGGGGTTTCAAATGCCCTTCATAACATGAACATCTTGGACAGCTCCTGTGTGAATGCAGTGTCCAACCAACAGCACAGCACTTAATCAAAAGCTGCAATTTTAAAAATTCCCAGATGGGGTAGATGGAATCTACACACTGAGAGATTATACCACATAGCGGCTCATAGATTTGGAAGTTGATATCTGATGCCATACAAGAGAAAGAGAGAGAGATGGGAGTAGATTATGAAGATTATTCTATAGTTGAAGGTAATGCAAAGAATAAAATGTACCGAATTCTTTCCTTCCTGGGTATTCCAGATTAAATTCAAATGAATGCGATGACATGAGCACAAATTAGTCCTTCTGTGTCCTAGCTTGTCAGAAAGAGTAGACCCACAAAAGTCATGTTAGAAAACTAGATTCAATAAAAGGCACAACTATTGAAGTTTCAGGGTCATCTGGGAGTGTTTCCTTAGAGAAAAACTACAAAAATAAAATAAAATACAGTATTGTATATTCATAAGGGGTAGGTAGAGGAAGGGTGGAAATATAAAATAGGTATACAACCCCCTAGAGAGGAAAGTGTAGCTACACTGAATATTTTCCCAGTTTTAAGTTCTTGGTTTTTGTAAAGAACGCATTCATTTATTTTAATTATAATCAGTCTCAGGCATGCACAGCATATGGCCCGAGGGCCGAGGGCAGTCTGCCAGGACAATACCAGTAGCCCAGCACCTCAGTGAGTCTGATGTAGATCCATGAGGGGATGGAAGCAGGCTCAGAAGCTATGATTGCAGTGATAACACTGATTCCCATGACGGATAAGGAGGGGCCAGGTTGGACCAGACCCAAATTGGTCATTGTGTCAGGCAGGGCAGGGAAACCCTCCTATCTACCTCTGTTTGTATTGTGAAGATAGCAAGGTTCCTGGAGGAAGGGGCTTTCCTTGTGGTGAACACAACAAAAGGCCGCAGCTGTGGCCCTTGGGTCATTCCCCTCCCACCTATGTCTCATCCCCTTCTTGTTTCAGTCTTCTTCATATCCTGATATTATTGGGATGACACTGCAGACTTGGTATAATGTTTCCTATTAATTGCAGCCCTCCACTGGCAAAGGCAACTTATAGGAGGCTATCAAGAGAGTTTGAGTTGTGAAAGTTCTATAGTTGTTTGAGTTATTTTGGTAAGGTTTAAATATTAACATTTGATTGATGCAATCAGACTTCTTTAGTCCTTTAAGTACTATAGTGCATAGGATTAGTAAATCCATATTGTAGGTCCAGTTTGATAACATGATATTTCCCAAATGCTTATTCATGTTAATATATATTACAGGTGCACCAGATACCATAAAAACATAAAGAAGCAGGGCCGGAAGAGACCTATAGAGGTCACCTAGTCCAACCCCCTGCCTCAGGTAGGATCATCCGTATCCAAACCTTCCTATACAAACCATAATCTAAACTCAACATAAAATTACCATCAACCCTGACACAACACAGACCTAACACCTTAACCTGCACAGGTAAACCAGGGGAACAACAACAGCCAATGTTCTGCTTTTATGAAATATTGTCAATATATGCTTAAGAGATCCAGGGTAAAGGGCCATGCCCCCCGCCCCTCCCCCAAAGAGTAAGGGGAAAACCCACAGTCCATAACAATCTGACCATGGGGTAAAATTCCTTCCTTACCCCAAATATGGCAGTCAGTCTGACCCTGAGCAGAGGGGCAAGACCCCCTAGCCAAGAACCTCCAGATGCCTTGGCCAGGAACCTCTGGCTTTGGTCCCAGCAGGAGCATTGGCACACCTTAGTCAAAGTCCTCAGCCTTCACTGTAGCTAACACCCAGTGCCTCTGAGAAAGGCTTAAAAATCCCATGTTATGTTGCAGAAAAGCAGGGGAAAGGCAGAGGGAGAAGGGGGAGAACAACCAGAGAAGTCCAGGAGCATCAGAAATTACCACAGTAGAACACAGGCATAGCTACACCCAGATCATCCCCAACCACTGGCTCTCTAACTGGTTCTTGAATACCTCTAATGATGGAGAGTCCGTATATTTTCTATGCAGTCTATTCCACTGCCTCATTCTAACAGTGAAGAAGTTTTTCTGGATAGCCAACCTAAACTTATTTTGCTGCAACTTCAAGCCATTGGTTTGCAGCCTTCTCCTCTCTGTAGCAAGAGAGAAAAGGATCTTTCCCTCTTCTTTATGGCAGCCCTTCAAGTATTTGAAGACTGTTACCATGCACTCTTAAGTGCTTTTTCTGCAAGCTGAAGTCTCGCCTCATATGACTTTCTTTCCAAGCCCTTAATCATCTTTGCCCACCTCCGAGCCCTCTCTAACTTCTCCAAATCCTTTTTAAAATGTGGAGTCCAAAACTGTACACAATACTCTAGATGAGAGTTAACCAATGCCAAGTAAAGAGGCATTATCACCTCCCATGTCTTGCACCTAATGCTTCTCTTGATGCATCCCTAAACTGCATTGTCCTTTTGTGCAGCTATATCACACTGTATACTCATACTGAGTCAGTGATCTGCCAAAACTCCCAAGTCCTTTTCCATTGTGCTGCCATCCAGCAAGGTGTCACCCATTTTATATTTGTGTTTTTCATTATTCCCTCTGAAGTGTAGCACCTGGCATTTGTCTACATTGAACTTCATCATGTTAGCTCTAGCCCACCTTTCCAATATGTTGACCCTTCTGAATTGCACTTCCATCCTCCAGTGTGTTTGCAGCACTTCCCAGTTGCATATCATCTGCAAACTTGCTCAAGACGCTTTTTATGCCACCATCCAAATCATTGATAAACACTTTGAACAACACTTGGCCCAGACCAGACCCCTCTGCGACTGCACTTGAAACCTTCTGCCATTCTGACATGGACCTATTAATAATTACCATTTGCTTGCAGCTATTGAGCCAGTTATCTATCCACTTTGTAGTAGTTTTGTCTGGCCCATGTTTCTCTCATTTTTGTTAATGAAAAGGTCATGCAGACCTTGTCAAAAGCTTCACTGAACTCCAGATACACTATATCCACAGCATTCCCTTCCCAAGTAGTTACTTTGTCAAAGAAGGAAATCAAGTTTGTTTGACATGATTTTTTGTAAATCCAGGTTGGCTGCCTCCAATCAGCCTTTCCTCCTTCAGTTGCTTGCAAATAGCCTTCCATAGGATATGCTCCAGTAACTTCCCAAGTATTGAAGTGAAGCTAACCGGTTTGTAGTTCCTGGGCCCTCCTTTTTGCTTTTTTTAAGGAGGGGCACTATGTTGACCGGTCTCCTACAACTTCACGAAGATCATTGTCAAGGGCACCAAGATCCCCTTTGCCAGTTTCTTCAGTACGCTGGAATAAAGCTCATCTGGCCCTGCTGACTCAAATTTATTCAGACCCAA